TACTCATGTTTAGCATGCCTGAGGGGTTCGATCACAGGGGGGGAGGCGAACGGTTATGTTTTGCGTGCCTTAGAGGTTAGACCACGCGTCCTCGAGAGGACGGAGCATTGTTCCTACAGAACCGATCAATCACCGGTGGCCAATCGCGGGAAGGGGGCCAGCCGTTGTTTGATCTCGTGGGCAAACAGACCCGCACAAAGCAACCGTCTGTGCTGGTTGAGACATGGGGTTCGCGTATGGTGGTCGGGACAGTGGGGTAGACGGCTTGAACCGAGGACTTGATCTTTGATGTGGTCCTCGCCAACTGAATGCTGGTTGAAAAGTAATGGTCGTTGTTGGACGTGCGACGCAACACCAACAACGAAGTGATTTGTCGAAAAGATGACACTATGCGAGCTTGGGTTGGCGTGCAAAGCAGAAGGGGGAACAATCTTGTTTCGCACGGAGGTATTCCGGCTTCGGCTACAGTAGCATTACCAAGGCCACTTTGCGTCAAAATTGAACGCAAGGAGAACGATGCTCACGTGCGCAGTAGTAAGGGTGTCACATTCGCTTGAGCGTTGAGAGCACAACTAATTCGCTCGCATCTGTACCAACAGCAACCCTCTTCGACAAGACAACGCCAAGGAAAAACACCAACGAACGAAGTACAGAGGCCCCCAAACACCAACAGCGGTAGTGCAGCACGCAAAGCTTAACCTTTGACACGTCGAATCCCCTTGTCTCCCTCTCGATCGGCCCCTCGCCCATTTCGAGCTGCCGCGCCTGGCGCACCGCCTCCGCTGCAGCCGCCGTCATAAGATGCCGCACGCTGTTCATGTTCTTCACCTCCACCCTCTCCCCTAGCCCTTCCGTTCCCCCCGGTCTGACGGAAACGTTGAGGTCGCACCGCATCGACCCGTCCTCCATGTTGCCATCGCAAGCCCCGACCCTACGCAGGAACAGCTGCAGGGATCGCAACGCTGCGCCGGCCTCGGCCGCGCTCCGTATCTCCGGCTCGAAGACAATCTCCATAAGAGCGGTGCCCGCGCGGTTGAGATCGACTAGGCTTCTCTCAGCGCCCTTCCCCTTTCTGTCATGGAGGCTCTTGCCCGAGTCAACCTCTAGCTGGATACGAGTGATACCGATGGCAGGCACATGCAAGCCTAGGTCGTTGCCGTCACCTTGGAGCTCGTCAGCGGAGCGTACTTTGGCGGCGCCCCCGGCCTTCGCCTTCGTCGGTCCCGCGGGGTCGAAGATGAGCGGCAGCGAGCCCCCGGTCGCGATCGGGTGCCATTGCTGCGTGATCTGGTACCCGTGGGGGAGGTCGCTGTAGAAGTAGTGCTTTCGCTCGAAGACGCTGCGGCGGTGCACTGTGCAGCCCAGGGCGAGAGCGGCTTTGACGGCTTGGTCGACAGCCGAGGCGTTTAGCACGGGCAGGGTGCCTGGGAAGGAGGCGTCGAACAGGCTCACCCTAAATAAAGGGTAAAAAAAAATGGAACGCGACGGTCGGCGCTGTTGGATTCTCCTGTGCCTGCAATAGTGAAGGGTGCGCGTGGGCGGAAACCGTCCTATAGCTCGGTACGTCCATCTAGGTACACCACGCATCCGTGAGAGAACCGTTTGTTACAGCGATACACTTTGAGCGAGGGATCATCACCCCGTTAATAGTAAACTCAAGTGTTACCTGGAGTTAGGCTCGTCATCCTTGCTGGGTGCTGCTGCTTGGGACCTCGAGAAAAGCTTCGAGCGAAGTTGGATTTGAGCGTGCACCTCCAGGCCAATAAAGACATCCCATGCACCTCCTTTGGGACCGATGATTCTCTCTGCTGCACGCTTCATGGCTCCGCAGCACCTCGCGTTGTCGGGTGGCACTCTCATGTGTCATGACTTGGGGGATACTTGTATTCAAAAGCGGATGGCATGTGTGTCTTTCTGAGAATCTGTCGTACGGAACCCCTTGACCGGCCCAAAACAACCAGAACAGCAGTCAGTACCGCAACGCCACGCGCCTGTTCAGCACGTGCTGCACGTGTCCTCTGTCCTCTTGTCTGATAGGCACGTGTTGCCAGAGAGGTGGAGAGGGGGAGTCGTGGTTAGGAAAACGAGCTGCGTGGCCGAAGCAGCGACAAGATGGCGACGCGAGAGTTCTGGTTGCTCACGTCATATCTGTTGGTTGCCTTGAGACGGGCGTTGACGGTGACATGGATTCGGATCAACAAGTTCCTCATGAAGCCCGACTGGGTGATTCGACCCGTGGCCGATTTTCGACACAAGGTGTGGTTCGCTCAGCCGTCCCCTCGGTTTTCCGAGCTTTCGTAGGCGTGGACGATGAAAACTTGATTGCGAAGAGACACCCAATCGCGGAGGGTCTCTGACCCGCTCAAGTGTGCTGACTTTTCATCTTCAATCTCTCCTTGCAGTGCAGAGCGTTACTGCTGTTCTGCTGAGATCGGGACAGCAGTAGGTACACAGCAGTAGGTTGCAGCAGCAATTTGTACAGATACGCTTGGGTTCATCCTGCTGCAAGGCCCTACAATCATTCAATCGCAACCGAGACTTGTCCTTTGCGCAAAAGCGCTTCCCTTGCTGAAACAGACCCTCGGTTGCACGTGATGCTCGTTTCAGGTGGTTCTAATCGGAGATGGATTCGCCGAGGGCGTCGGAGATTGGGTTGTAATGGGGGGAACGGCTGGCGTTACGCGGATGCTCGAAAAGGAAGCGGGATCGGATGAAAAGGTGATCATGTTGGAGTTGCACATTGAATGATGAGGTGTGCTGTAGGTGAGACGGACGCTATCATACCCGGGCCTGTTTGGGGGTTAGACTTTAAATTCGATACCATGTTCAATACCAAAATTTTGAATTCGTGCACAGAAACAGCGGTGCGTACATTCACATGCAACACGTGTGGGAACCACTCATCAGTAAGTTCAGAACTCAAAGGGTCGGGGTTAGGTTACCGGTTGGGGCTAGAGACCAGAATAGGGGACCTTTCACAACAACTTTTCTTTTTGCCTGCAGCGGTACCTTTCGTTTCAGCGCTCACAACAACCTTGGCAGCATGAAATACAGCAGTTGAAGTTCAACGGCAAAACCAACACTCTCTCGAGCTTACGTAGACCATTACTGTAGGCGCATGCCAAGCTTACCCCATCCCCTTCCACCGTCAAACACAAACATTAGCGCTATATGTATCTCTCCTAACGGTCTTTTTTTATCATCCTATTACCGTACCGTTTCGCTTGTGACGGGCCATCGCTCTGTTATATTTCTCTCGTCCTTTCTGTCGATTGTCTGTGTCTTTCATCCACACCCATGTTCAATCGTCAAACATAAGGATGACATTCTCTCCCGCCAGTATTTTTTTTTATCTTCCTTTCAATTGCTCAAACTTTGTTGCATCTCTCCTGTCTTTCTGTCGTCTGTCTATCTATCTGTCTGTCTACCTTGCGGGCAATTTAGGTGCGCACGTGCTGGCACATCATCAACCGAGGGCGGGCCGGGAGCTTATCCTCCGATTGGCTGCCATCCGACCCAAAGGTACCCTCATGATTTTCTAACCATAGCCTTATGTCAAAACACTGATTTGTTGAACGCTGGGAAGAGACGCCCTGTTCCAGAGACATTGTCGTTGTTGCCAAAGGGTTTGAAACGCAAACACTTGCGCCCGCAGGTACGGAAGTGTGTCGACAAGGTCGGAGCGCCGACAAGGTTTCATTGTTGCCGTACAGCGGTGCTCCTCGGCTGCCTCGTCGTGCAATGGTATCGAGAAGCAGAAGCAGAGAGACCGCTCCAATGCGCTTGTCTCCCTCAAGAGGAGCTCGCCACAAACTGAACATAACACCAGGGGGAGCGTTTTCTTCTTGCCCGCTGCTGAGACGACGAAAAATACCACAAATCGCACCAATTAACAGTGTTTCCCGCGCCCTGTCGTAATCGTAGCGTACACGTGCCATAATCGCATACCTGTGAATCCACCGTAAATATGCCCCCACACGAAAGCAATAAACTGTTTCGCTTCTCCCCCCTATATCGCTCCGTCACATCGTAGGGATGCGAGGCCTATGATCTAACGACTACGTGCGTTTACAAGAGTACCCCCCCTCCCGCTCGGCGCATCATCCTATGTGTGAATGTTTTCAGTCGCTATACCACCGGAAGGTGCAGTCTGAAGCCTGCAGGGACGCAGAGATATTCGTTGTGGCGCTGGGTACGATGGACGTGGTCAACGAGTGCGTGGGCATGCCCGTCTCAGCCATGCGAAAAACCGCCCTCGACACCTTCGAGGAAGGAGAGATCTGCGACACGGTCAAGAACCTCAGGGAGATCTGCGATGCTCTCAGGGCCGAAGGGAAGAAGGTGCGGGCTTGGTGTGGTTGTTCGATTGCAAGGAAGGGGGCTGAGTGGGCGGGTTGTCCAGAGTGGCTTTTGTCTACTCTACGTGACTACCATCTCTTGATGTCGAGTGTTGGTCCGGAGCAGCCACATCATCAGTATTTCTCGAACAGACTGCTCGCGTTGGCAGCCCTCAAGTCCCGACACAGAACTCAACTCCCGGGACACAGTAGCAGCACGCCCAAAGTCCTCAAACTCCTACGGCACCGGCCGTTGTTGCCTTCGCAGGTAGTCGTTTGCAACGTGATGACGTCCGGTGCTGGCATCAACAGCCGCGCGGGCACAGCCAAGCGCATCAACCGACAGCTCGCGCTCTACGGCAAGGCAACAGCAACAGCAACAAGAGAAACCGCAACCAAGGGCGGACAACCCGTGGAGGTGGTGAAGATGAACAACCCTCGAGCGGCAAGAGAAGACGGCCGAGCTTTTGACGGCCTCCATCTTAACGCCCGCGGGTACCGCGCGTTCGCCAGCGCGGTGTACGAAGTGGTAGGGCCGATGATGGTTGCCGTGGAGTGGAAGGTCTGGAAGTCCAAGCTAGCGGCGGGTTTGACCAACGGGGCTGGCGGCGCGGCCGTGGCGCCAATCTCCGGAGAGGGCTTCGAGCCAAAGAGTAAGGCCAAGAAGAAGGCGGACTAACTGCCGTAGGTGACGTAAGAGTATCATCCCTCCGGGCCGATTTTCAAAGCGCCATTTCTCGGCTGGACGGTGCCGGAAAGCGCTGCGTTTGAACTGTCTTGTCGAGAGCGCTGAAGCTGTCTTGTCGAGAGCTTTCCGAAAATGTGTCGTTTGACTTCGGCATCCCCTCTTTGTCGTGGAACAACAGAGGTCTGAAATTCGGCCCAGGTGGTGTAGTATCTTATGCAACCTATGGTAGTTGGGGAGAGGCGAACCATCGTTTATGGTGGAACATGATCAGGGGAGAGGATGAGACGTAGCTGGGGGCGGGGTATGCGTTATGGGGAGCGGCTGTGGCGGTAACGGAGATGGGTACAGGAGCGTGTTTTGGGTGCCGAGACCTGTTGCGCAGGTTATGCGCATTGGGTTATCGTGGCACGGACCTCCTGGCGACATGCCGGTGAACCTCACGTATCAGTGTCTCGGGGTTTGGACCAGCTATGGGGCTTATCGTTTTACTGTGCAAGAGCGTGGGATGCGGTCAGGTGGTTCATTATGACCGCTCTCACCGGCTGGTATTGCCCTTGGGCATTTTTGGTGCACGCGTTCCGACGCCGGAGCAGAACAAAAAGCGAGTAGCTTGATTGCTGTTGCACCTGCTGTGTCGACGTATATGTCGAAAGAGCTTGTCTTACGCGCGCGTAGAATTATTTCACCACTGGTGGTTTGAAACACCGAGGTTGCTGTCAAGAAGGCGGCATGCTGTGTAGGATGTACACACACGCGGATGGACGAACAAAAACAGCGTGGAAGCGGGAAGCGTTCGTTGGAAGCGGGTTGATGACACTTTCTTCGACCCGCCCCTATCTGGCCTGCAGTTATGACACAGCAATACATGCACAACCAACAGCATCGATTGCTTTGTGCGGCTGCAGTCTTGAGAGGACGGACGAATACGACACAAGATAACACACCCCCTGGACCAATTTTCAAAGCTCGATATGACCACGACTACATAAGAGGATGCATCAACGAAACGATAAGTTTTCGGAGAGCTCTGTGCCAGACCGCTTCAACGCCGCCGTTTTCGGCACCATGACTCTATCTGCTGCTGTTCACGTGACACGCAAAAATCCTTGCCAGGTGTGGGCGTGTGCGCATTAAACGTAAGGCTTGCTGGTGGTGGTTTCGGGTAGAGCTGTGTGACCTTCCGGGGGCACCATGGTCTATCCTCGTGATATGGCAAGAGGCGTGATCATGCAGAAAAGGCTGCGTTATTGCCTTGATTCACGAGTGTTCCTCGGTCAAAAACAATGAACTACACCCTCTGCTCTTCAAGCCTCTCTATCGTTACATAGCCGAAACGGTAGGGGTGGTGACTGCTGGCTATGGCCTGTACCAGACCGAAGGAACCGAGATAAGGGGCAAAAATTTCGCCGCGGCATTTTCAAAAAATACACGGTGGGCTAGCACAGGGGGTCACATCGCACCCATCACCTGAGACATCAATTTCTAGGGAGGTTTCCCACGTCTTGTTTGATTCCTGCTGATAGGTCGCCTCTTGTCTCACATCGCCCTTTGTCCCCAAGGCGGGGGACGTTGAAGGGCGTGAGAGCTACAATCCAGGAGACTTTTTTGCTCCAAGTTTCCTCCGCAACATCACAACGACCTCATGGCTGTGAAATTGTTGTCGTCGTCGGTACCAGGTAAAAAGAAAAAGCACACGCACGCAGGTCTAAGGCGTGACTTCTCGTGCCCCGCGACGTGGCTGTGAACCAACATATAACACGCCTGATGGGCATGCCACTCGCGGTGAATGTACACGGTCCCTATATTAATAGTCCCCTAGCCCCTTCGCGCGGCGTTCGGCACGTACGGCCACCTCTCTCCATCAACGTACATGTCGGACCGAAGAACAAGAGCGCGTTTACACGCACGAGTTTGAAAAAACACCATCACTCGTTCTCAGGAATCGCGTGTAGGGGGCCTGCTTGACCACTTGGTGAGCTCGGCGTCGCCCCGGCAGCAGTCGCAGCAGCAGCAGCCGGAACGCCGCCGCCTGCTGCGGCACGGCGACCGCTGGTTGTCGCCCCGTTGGCGAGTTGTTGCACCCGAGCCGCCACTCTCGCCTCCAGGTCCTTCATGTGGCTCCAGTGACTTGCCGTCATCGCCTCGTCTCCGAGGGAGAGCGCCGTCAGCCGGGCTATCGTGAGCATCCGGTGGAAGTCTTCCCCCTGCCACCATGACCAGAAAGAAATACAACGGTGGGGGGGGGGG